AAAAAATATCTTTTCCAGCGGATATCTTAGTTACAACATGATTGAGCTAGCAAAGCAGTTTTGTGTTGCTATGTGTGGTATTTATTCAGTTTTAGGAAATCACGATGTCTAGAAAGCATCAGTGGCTGCAGCTGACAGGGACAGCTAACAGCAGCAGCAAAGCTAACATCAGGACGTCATCTGTTAAAAGCCTCCCGTTGTCAGATACGACATGAAACTACTCCAGTTATCTCAATCATATTGTAACTAAGACATCCGCTGGAAAAAAATATTTTCTTCACGGATGAGCACACGTTTGATAAAACGGAGTTAAATCTCTCGGCATCCATTTTCAAGCTCTCTGTGTGTTTGTTTCCTTGAGGACGAGAAAAGGGGGAGCGCACATTTCCGAGTAGGCGTGTCCTTTTCAAAAATGCAAGAGGCGTTGCTTTGTTGCCGGCCGTTTTCGCCGGTGTGTTAAACACACTTTAGAAAGGAGTGTCCCCAGACTATCAGAAGGCGGAGATCTCTGATTGTCTGGTGGCGAGACTACAAAGTTAATAGACTGATTACCAATAAAAGAACAATAAAAATCTACAGAGAATTTAAAAGAGGGAATAAAAGATTTTAAAAAGCGGTTAGTCTTGTTTCAAAGGGGAATATGGTGGCCTACTTTTTATTGATTGCATTTTTGACAAAGTATATCTTTTACAAAATTCAAAGTACCTTAGCAGTATGAACTTACTCCCTTTACAAGTAGAAGTGTAAGTAGCCCACACAATATAACTACAATAAAGTAGTCTCTATAGATAGATAGATAGATAGATAGATATGTAACCATCTTTTCTTGATTGTAGGTGTTCCCCAGTTCTTTCATCCCCACAAAACAAGAGCAGCTGGGAACCAGTAAGCTCATAACCAAAGGAACACAATGACTCCACTTAAACACCACACATGAAAATACAAATGAAACATTATACAAAGTACTATAAATGACAGTGAAATAATAATTTACCAGTAATTCAATACTGTTAAATCTATGTTACTTAAGTATAAATAATATACCCATTAAATAACACAGTAACTTGAGTAATAAATAAACCAAAAATATAATGTGTGCAGTAATTATGGATAGAGATAGATAGATAGATTTAACTGACAAGACTTAAAATGTACATGACATGCTGATCACAATGACAGACTGTGTAAAACGTGAAATTGTCAAGAATTGAAATATGCACAAAAAAAAAGCCTTCCTCTTTTACAAGATAACAAACTGAATACCAAAGTAAGAATTATATTAAACATAAAAAAAACATTAAAAGAAAACAGACAACGAAACATCAGGTATTTAAATAGGCCTACATACAACCATTTCTTGAGATCTGATTTAAAACGCCTTATAACTGCCGACTATCTATGCAGAAAAAGGCCTCACAGCAAGAGGGTTCCTAGTTTGAATCCGAGGTGTGGGGTTCAAATCCTGGGGTGTGAGTTTGCATGTTCTCCCCATTTTACTCCGGCTTCCATTTTTTGGGTTGTGTCCACATGGTTTATGCGCTTACTGTAAGTCCCTTTGGATAAAAGCTTCAGCTAAACAGTTGTAATGTTATGTAATGTATGTAAAATATGAATCTACAAATGATCAAGTATCTGTCACTGCAACAGGCGATCCTTGTAGGTGAGTAGAAAGTACAATGTGTCATCTGAACTGATCCACTGAACAGAGAAATAAAGTATAAAATTGAAATGCTCAAGTTATATATACATGCTTCACAAAGTATAGTGATGGAGTGAATGTACAGATGTTGTCATGTC